TGTGTACACACGTACGTACTCGCGCGTGCAGATTGCCTGGCTCTCCTTTATGAGATGGGCCATAAATTCCAAACTGCTAGCTGAGAAGGAGCCTGAAACCAACTTGCATGCTGCAGCTATCTCCATCTCAGAAGCAAACCTGGCCTCAACATTATCAGCCATGTGGATTTGGGACATTAATAGCAGCATATAAGTTTGGAACTACCCACAAGAACTTGATGCACAACCCTGTGTCCTCCCTGCTGCTAAGAAGAAAGCCTAACATTTTTTAAGGGTAGAAAACAGGCACATAAAGGCTTTACAGGCTGAGCTCTGTGCTGGGGCATAAATATCCTTCACAGGCTAAGGTCTGTCACTGAAATATGTTGCCTGTTTTGGTGAGCCACAGGAAGAATTACACTAAAAGCCATTTCCTGCCTTTCAGACCAGCGCTCAAATGACTAACCTGCCTTTCTTTGATCTCAGCCACAAGCCAAAAGCAGAGTTGCCTTATGGATAATCTAAAATCAAGTGGTCATATTTAAAGTAAAATCTACATGACTGAAGGCTACTTTCATGATTAAATAATAACAATAACCAAATACAAACAGGTTTCACAAACAAACATTTGTTATGAATGCAATCCTCTGCACTTACCTGACAGGAAAATAAGTGTCAGTCAATTTTTGTTCCTCTCAGCTTCAGTTTTTCCCAGTTTCAAATTCATTTGATTCCATTTTGGCATAATTCTTGAGCCCGGATGAAAATGTCTGTGCTATGTTGCCTGCATTGGCCAGAACCCCACTTCAAATCCCAGATAGAAAAACCTACTGAATGAAGGCGATCTATATATGGGTAGACGCACAATCCAACAAGTGACTCGTTTTGGGACTAGCAAAGAGACTTAGAGCTGTATGTATTTTCCCAAGCAATCTCTCCTCATAATGCATTTTATAGTATACATATAAAATATTATGCATATAAACTATACATGCATTCCCTAATACTGTATACATAATTTATGATTTTTTTTATTACTGCATAGCTAAATTCAGAGAAGGGCAAGCATGGGTGAAGATCAGCTTTTAAAATTATTGTAGTGCTTTGAGAAGTGTGAATTAAGATAGGTCTGCATTTGAAGTCCAACTGAATGATTCCTTCCCCATTCCTGTCTGGCAGAATGTCTCACTACACATAACAGCTTCCACACAGAGTACCTAGATGCACTGGCAAAGAATATGTTCTCGAAGCAACAGCCATCAAAAGATGAGCTAATTGGATACAAATGCCTGTAATCTGTAAGACTGCTGTTTGCTCTTCTCCCTAGCTGCATCTGCTCCAGCAATAAGAATAGAAATAAGTAAACAGAACTGTAATACTTGGTGATAATTTAGAGATTTAGGTTTTGAACTACAAACAGACATTTTAATAATAACCTTTTTCTATAAACAATTTATAGAACAGAACTCAGCAACTTCCAACAGTGTTTGATTATACTCTTCTAATAAAACCAGGCTCATTAAAATAAAACCACTTCAATCCCAATTTAAGACTACAGACGTCTCCCAGGTTGAGGCATCAGTCCTTTATCTGGGTGGGTCAGGGTAATGTCAGGCAAAAATGAGTACAATTTTTGGCACCACGTCTCATTAAGACTTTTGATTTGGGCCAAAACAAATGTTATTTATAATGGACCAAAAATGGAAAGTAACATTAAGAAGAAAAGATAATCCTTTTCTGCTTTTGTATATTATCTCCCGAAATGATACCTGACCGTTAAAAATAAAACTTAATACCCGGCAGCTTAAAATTCTACTCCCTCCAGCCCACCCCGTCCACATTTGCTCCAGAAGCTTCCTTCGTTGTGCCAAGAAGCTGAAGAGTGTGGGACTCTGGTGTCACCTCCAAGAATTGTCTCATTTCATTATGATCCGGAGAAAGTCCTTGAGGCTGAGCCAGCGAGCTTGTTCCCATCTCTTGTGAAGCGCTGCTGCTGTCGCTGCCGCTGCTACCATTTCCAGGAGGCGAACCTTCAGCCTGCTCCGTAAACCTAATTGCCGTCTGCATTTGCTCTCCTAATTCCTCTATCAGTTTCCCAGGGACAGATGTAGACTGTAAAGAAGCCTTTGATTTGTCATTTCTAACATCTAACGTTAAAGTGCCTGTGTCTCGCCTTAATCCATTACAGTCAATAAGCAGGGCTGTCCTCTCGTCTTGGAGTGCGCTTTGTAAAGGATTTATTTTCCCATCTTTGCTGGCTGAGGACTCTTGTGCATCTGAATCGGAGTCTTCTGTCTCATATGATGAAGTGCTGCTTGAGTCGTCAGAGCCACTCGGCTCTCCTTTGGAGGGAGGCAGCTGCTGCTTAGAAATGTCTGTGTCGCTGGCTTTTAACTCCTTTTCTTCCTCTTGTACAAGAAACGCTGCCGCTTCGAGCTCATCCAGTTCAAAACCTAATTTAGCTTTTGTCAGCTCTGCCTTCTGCATCCATTCAGCAAGAGCAGCCAATTTCTTTGACCTTTAAAAAAAAAGAAAGAAAGAAAAAGGAGAGGGAACAAAGGGACAGGGCACACAAGGCATTTTAGTCTGCTCTGTTTGACTGACACATTTGCAAAGACTGTTGCACCAAACAATGTCAACAATGATAAATGCAAATTTAATCAACAATGAGAACTCCCCATATTGAGACTGGGCAGACTTTCAAAATATTCACAAACTGGGTGTACCATTTACACGGCTTGTGCTTTAATCAAATATTGACTCTTAAGAGATATCAAGCCATAAAAGTAAAGAGAAAATATACCTGATAGATGCATACAAGCATGTATCTGTGACGGGTGACTTGAATTTCGGAGCAAAGGTGTGGGAGCTTGTTTTTCTGTCATCTCTTACAACCTTTAATTTTCACTACTTATAATCTTAGAACTGCAGAGTTGGAAGGGATCCTATGCATCATCAAGTCCAGCCCCTGCCAAGAAGGCGCAATAGGGAATCAAACTGCCAATCTCTGCCGCCGCAGCCAAGTACTTAAATGATTCAGATGCACAGCAGTTGTACTGCAGTATCCACCAAACTAGGGTGAGGAGGGCATTAGATCTCCTAGACAAAAGGTGTAAATATAACTCTGTTTTTATCACCACATGTGTATCAGGAGCTGACAACATTATTCAGCTGTGCCTGACTTTCTGCAAACAAACCAGCAAAAGTAAGGAATTAGAGAACTACAGCTTTATGTGCAGGCGAGATTTTAAAGGGGGAAACACTGAAATGTGCTTTCTTCTCAAATGGAAGAGATGAGCCCCATCTTGAATCTGGCCCACTGCAATTCAAACTGGTCCCAAATACAAGTGGGTCTTGCACCCATATTATGCATTCTGCCAATACCCTCCAGTGTGCCTCCTGCCATTCATTACCTTCCCTCCCTCACTTTCTCTAGGCAAGACTTTTCCATTGGACAATAGAAGGAGGACTAGCAGGCAAAACAATTGATCCTTTGGGATGCTAATATTGAACACTGGGGTGGGGGTGCTGTGTGTTCCTCTCTCTTCCTAGAAAAAAACCCTAAGATCCTTTGGCCACCAAATAGTTAAGGTGGCTGGAGGAGGCTTGTGTGTGTTCTTCTCTCTTCCTAGAAAAAGAACATATAGCGCATAGAAGCAACTTCCTTGCAGGAAGTGGATCTTCTAAAATTCTAGTGAAATATGGTATAAGGAATTCCCAAGTGCAACCAGCACAGGTCACTCAAAATGTGCTTCTTTGGGAGCAGCTTATCTGTCTTTGGTTGGCTGGATATCTCAGTGGATTAGGTATCTGGCTGCAGAGCCATAGGTTGGGAGTTCCAATTCCCCACTGTATCTCCTTGTGAGTAGAGGGAGCCTGTGCAGCCTTGGGCAAGTTGCACAGGCCCAGGACACCCCCAGAAGAAGGGAATGATAAACAATTTCTGAATATTCTTTACTTGGAAAACCCTGAAAGAATTGACTTGACAACACATTATTATAATTATTTATATCTGTCTTCCTGCAGTGGCAGGCAATCCAAAATTAAACTAAAAAAAATTAAGGATATACATATGTAAACAGATAAATGTTTCCCAGTCTTCTTCTCTTTATGGGACATTGCTTGCTTTTTAGAATGAAAGAATGTGCTTGCCACTCACACATTTATTTATTTTATTTATTTATTTAATTTATATGCCACCCACTCTACCCATTTAGGAAGAAGAGGCAGTGGTGGAAGGCAGCATATACAACGAGTGGAACATTGCTTCTACCACTGTCAACAGGCAGCACTGGCCCAACACTCCACACAGCAGCTATGTGCTTAGCTTGCGTTACCCCCTCCATCTTGTGGCGCCTAAATGTACAATTTAGATACTTTACCCACTCTCCCCTTACTACATGTTGCCATATTTACCCTCACCGATCATCACCTTACCCTCCCCCACAAAATTATATATACTGTATAACCGGAAACTGGAAGAAAAGGAGGGTAGAAGAAATTTCAATGGTGAAAAGAAATTACAATGGTGCAATTCGCCTTCGCAAATACAAAATAAATATTTTACTGGCTTATTTCAAATTAAGCTGTTTCCTGTGGGACACCTAAAAACCATGTCAGTCTGTTCTCTAGGGTAGTATGTGTTTTGCTTTGGAAGAAGAATTTACATTCAGAACAATTGGGCTATTCTTTGTTTGTGGGTGTGCGCACATTCACTCTTGAGAATTCATCCCTCCCTCTGATATTTACAGTTTTAGTTGCACTAATTTTAACAAGGCACTTGGCACCAGTTAAACTGCATGGGAAGTCTGTTAGCTTCAGTATGAAATGGGCTGCCTATCTATACCACTCACAAGAAAACACAGCTGTCAAGATAAGCATCCCTCTCTGCGGACATCCATAGCATGGAACAAATGGCAGGTGTGTGAGAGACACAAGCTGTGTTGGTAAATGAGAGGATGGGTGTGAAAAGTACCCCCTCCCCTGCAGCAGATTGCTTGTTAAATTTTTTTAAAAAAAGAGGGAGAGAATTTATTAAGTGAAATAAATTAGTGGCTTTAAAACCTAATTAAGTATGGCACAGCTACTACAGTACTCTAAAAATCCCGAACACTTGGATTAATGAAAGCTTAATTGTAAGTGTCTGTGTCGTTTCCCTTAAATGGTAGAGTGTGAATGCTTTTCAATAGTTTTACAGAGACTGAACACAGCTGCAGTTTTCATTTTCTCAGAATGTAAAGGCACAGGGTCTGCCCCAACCATCCAGGAGTCAAACTTTCTGAAGAATATAGTCACCCCTGACTCACAGCTCCTGAAGATTTCAGGAGATAGCTCATCATTGCCTTGCTACCTGAGGTTCTCCACTGTGTCTCCTGGGAGAAGTGCCAGCCAGGTTTAATCGTGGGCAAACTACACAGTTCCAGGGTGCCCCCCAGAAGAAAGGAATGGTAAAGCACTTCTAAATGCTCTACCCAGGAAACCCTGGAAAGGGTTGCCATAAGTCAGAATCGACTTCTTTTCTTGCAATTATTATTACCACCAAGAGCTGAACTGGGGGCTTCAGGTGTGTCTCTCTGCCGCGGGGCCACAACCTTTCCCTTAATGCTCTTATAATTGGGGCTGAACTGAAACATTTTGCTGGAACACTTTTTTTCTTTTCTTTTTTAAAGATGTTTCATTGCCTCCTGGAAGAAAGGCAATTTAGGTGGGAGCATGAAGAAACACCATCCAGTCAACCCCATCCTTTCCACACACTCTTAAACAAAATTCCTTTAGGAGATAAAAAAAACGCACTGTGCATTATACTGAATAATTATCCCCCATGGGAACAGAATATAAAGATCTTTAAAATCATTCAGCTGAGAGAACAAGCATTTCAACTTTTGCCTCACAGGAGTTGTGTATTACATTATCAGCTGCGCACTTTGGTGTCACTGTGTCATGCCTTGCAGGTTAGCAGGGTTTGGCAGAGGAAATGAAACCCAGTCAGTTACAGCAGGATTTATAGCAGACCTGCTGTTCCAGGAAGTGGTGAAAAGTTGATTGATAGCCTGAGACAAAACTCTACTGCAAAACAACAGGATATATGCCTGCTATTTATACCTGCTTTTCCCCCTTTCTTTCTTTCGCTCTCCCTTCTGTGCTATATTTTACACAAGTTTATTGCTGTTTCGTTCCCTTCATTGTTTTAAAAAAGGGCTTTCTGGTTAAAAAACGTTTATTATATGCAAATATTGCAGGCATTCTCCCCCTATGTTCACACCTTCATTACATACGGCAAGACAACTTCTCCATTTATTGCCCCATGGTTGCCTTCTTTCAGAAAACAAACACACACACCTTGATCTCATTGACATCCAGTACATTGAAGTGACAGCTATCATTCTGAAGTAGCAATGTTGCTTCAACTTATCATTTCAAATACAGGAAGCAGTGCAAAAATAAAATAAAATAAAATCCTTCAGAATTAACACATATATGTACCGTATTTTTCGCTCTATAAGATGCGAACACATATATGTACTGTATTTTTCGCTCTATAAGATGCACTTCCCCCCCAAAAAAGTGGGGGGGGAAGTCTATGAGTCTTATGGAGCGAAGCTGGCGATTTCGTGAGGGGGGAAGTCTGTGAGTCTTATGGAGCGAAGCTGGCGATTTCGCCCCCCTGGTCCCATGTGGGGGGTGGGGGGAGCCTCCCAAGGGTCCTGGAAGGCAGACTTGGACCCTTGGGAGGCTCCCCCCACCCCCATGGGGCCAGCAGGGGCGAACTTGCCACCTTCTCGGACTCTTTTGAGCCTTGGGAAGCTTCAGAAGAGTCCCTGAAGGTGGCGATTTCGCCCCCTCTGGCCCCGCGGGGGGAGCAAGGAGAGCCTCCAAAGGGTCCTGGAACACACCCTAGGACCCTTGGGAGGCTCCCCCCACCCCCATGGGGCCAGCAGGGGCGAACTTGCCACCTTCTCGGACTCTTTTGAGCCTTGGGAAGCTTCAGAAGAGTCCCTGAAGGTGGCGATTTCGCCCCCTCTGGCCCCGCGGGGGGAGCTGGAGGAGCCTCCAAAGGGTCCTAAGGTGTGTTTCATAAGACGGACCTCTCCATAAGGCTCACCAAATTTTTAGAAGAGAACAGATCATTTTTTTCCTGTTTTCTTCTCCTAAAAATTTGGTCCGTCTTATGGAGCAAAAATTACGATATATAGTAGTAGGAACACAGAAGTGGCTTGAAAGTCCACAAAGTGTACAATCCAAAAAAGTTTATGCATGTCTTGAGATAAAATTAACTTCTTTCTGCACACCTGCAGGGAAGGTAGATAGATCACCAATCAAACTCACAGATGAGGTTTGGACTATGGGATTTTCTGGTTGCTTTTCAGCCTATGGTCCAAAATGCTTAGGTTTCAGTAGATCAATGTACCCCATCTTCCACTGGAGAAATCTACTTTAGAGCAGGTACTTTTTCTCATATCTCATTCTAGAATGGGACTGCAGTACACTCTTGTGGAACAGTGTCACTAATAATTTATC